AAGCTGAATATAAAAGGATTCCTGTCCTTCATTTGTTTCTCACCAGATGCCTATTTTACTCCTCCTGTATATAAGGCAATATTAAGGACCTGGAGTTGCCTAAAATATTATTGGTGGCCTCACTGAACTTACAGGACAATCCATGATACTGAATGGTACACAGATATCTGTAACACACGGCACAGAGTCTGAAGTGCTATCAGTAAGTAGGTCCTGGAGGTCGGAAGAACAAGACCACTGTGGCTGGGGACCCAGGGAACACTTAGCAATAGGTGAGCTTTGACCTTGCCCTGGAGGATGAGTCAAAATGGTAACAGCAGGGGATGCTTGGGGAGGGCATCCCAGGCAGTGGGATTGGATTGTCTTGGGAAAAGGCCACGGAGGCAGGAAAGTACAAATTTTGAGGAGGGAGTTAAGTGACTGACTCAGTAGTATACAGAGTGCTGCCTGGGCTGGTGTTGGGAGCAGAGCGTGAGAGCATTTGAACTCCGTGGTGGAGGGAGCCGTGTCAAGTTTAAGAAAAGGTCAGAGAGAGTGAGAACCGAGAAAAGGCCCTGGAGCTGTCATTCTGGATTCTCCTTCCTCCTTCCCATTCCCTCTTCTTCATGCTAAATCAGGTCGCTTCACATCCTGCCTGTCTTCACCGAATTACTGCTAAGGTACTGCTTTGACCGTACTGTTCACACCTCTGTGGACTCACCAACCCCCTTCAGAGTAAATTCTATACTACTTAGTTGGGGTTTCAAGGCTCTCCTCATCTGGCCCAGTCTTATTCTTCAGCTCAGTTACCCCATCATCCACTACCCTGGACTCCCTTCTCCACCATCTTGGTCTCCTCATGCCCACCTCACCTGTGTGGGTCGCCTACCCCGTTACATCTTTCCTGATACTGTCCTCTCAGCCCAAATGCCCTCTCACTTCATCAGTGTCCATGAGAATCTCCAAGGCCCATTTTTTAAATTCTAAAAACTTAAACTCTTAGAAGATGGAAACCAAGTCTTTATTTTTATACCCATCAGTGCCTTACAGGTGCTAAACACCAAGCAGATGTTGAATAAATAAATTATTATCTTTCATTCCTTCTTTTCCTCCATTCCTAAATATGACCAAGAGTAACTGTATCCCCCAGATAAAGAGGCCTTCCATTTGTATAATGCATTAGACCTTCTGAAGGTCACGGCATAGCAGTCCAGAGCACTGAATCTGGAGCCAGACTGCTGGGGTGCCACCCATTGCTTTGCCGATTATCAGCTGTGTGACCTTCAGCAAGTTACTTAACCTCTCTGTGCCTCACTTTTCTCGTCTGTAATATGGGGAGAATAAAGGTACCTATCTCATAAGCGTTTTTAGAAGGATTAAATAAGCTATTATTGGGCTGTCCAAAAAGCTCGTTCGGGTTTTGCCGTAACATCTTATGGAAAAACCCAAATGACCTTTTTGGCAACCCAATATTTGTAAAATGCTTAGAACAATGTCTGGCATGTAGTAGGAATTATATAACGTTTGTTTAGCTAAATAGATACACATTACATATATCTCCATATATATATATATATATATATATATATATATAAGTGGTATAGATTATATACATATATATACACACATATGTAGTAGGTACTCAGTAAAGGTACAGTTGTACCCACACACAGGGACCATGTACAATTGGGTATCCGCAACAACCTTGTAAGGTGAGCAGAAGTGTTAAATGACTCTCCACACCTAGTAACTGGTAGATCCGTTCCTGGAACCATGTCTTCTAACTTCTGAGCCAGAAGTCAAAAAGTAGAATTTATACCCTTAATCGACTGATCTCCAACACATGGATAGTTTTCAGATACACCATGACTTCTTGACACTGAATATTGAAATTTATTATAGATACTTTAATTACTTTGATTTAAAGTACAAGAGTAGTGTCAGATCCATTAGATAGGGTCTGTCAGTAAGAAATATACAGTTTCTGTCCAAAGTTTTTATATAGGATTTCACATGAGGTGAGAGGTACATGAGGTAAAGAGAGATTGGTAAGGGCAGAGGATCTGAACAAAGTCCAGCTTAATATTCCCTTTATTCTGACATCAATGATTTGCTAATACTCTGGCAATATTCAAGTGTCACAAAGAAATCCATGATGTGGTCACTTTCTACTTGACTATATTCTTCTTGCAGTTGAAGACAGAGCAGGGAAGATAAATTGAGCGTGTTCAATGGAGAATTATGCCTGAGGTTTTAGTAGAAAAGAATTCAAATAGGAACATATGCTATTGGAGTACCTTTAAATGGATATATACCTATCATGTCATTTGGTATGCAAAGGCTTGTGTTTGCATTAAGCTGATGGAGAAGCTGTTATTTTCTTTGCAGTATATATTCAAAAGCTTTCTTTTACTTCTCTGTAAAAGAGAGAACTGTCTGTTATTTTAAATACAAAACACATTTAACTTCTGTCAACAGCTTACATTTTAAATAATGCAGTTTGTACTGGCATTCATTGTCTGCAATTAGAGTTCTCGAGAAGCTTTTGGTTTTTTCTCTCCAACTTTTAAAATTCATTCATTGTAACTGTTGACATTTTGGAGAACAGTGGAAACCCTAAGTCAAACTGGAAAAACGGAACAAAGACATTACCTTTCTGGAAATTACTGTTGAACCGCGTGGAGAATCCTCAGCTATTGTGCTGAAGCACATTGTGCTGAAATATTTATACCCTCTTCTTGCTAGTGTTAGGTCAGACTCGAACGTTTTCCTTTTAACTCAGCCTACTTAACCAGAAACGTCATGCTAGCAGCCAGCTCAGAATCCTTAGTGCCTAAAGCTTAGTTTGTGCAAATTACCTGCTTACAGTAGGCCTCAGCATCTTAGTAAAGCAAGAGTCAGGAGTTCAGGTCTTTTCTTCAGGATGTATTTAAAAGCAAGATTTCTCAGTTACCCAGGTCTGTCTGGGATGCCTTTTCATCCAACTATGACGGGAGGCACGTGTTCTCATCTCTTCCTTCCTGTCAACTAGCAAGAAGACAGCCGAGCATCTGTGTGTCTGTGTGTCTGTGTGTGTGTGTGTGTGTGTGCGTGTGTCTGTGAGTGTGTGTGAGATTGGTTGTTTTCACCCTCTCATTTAAAGATGTAACTGGAACCAGGACCCAGACAGCCTGTGGGTTTGCTTCAGGCGGGGAATATAAACAGAGCCAAGCCTAGAAATGCCAGGTGTGCAGTAGATTGATTGACCTCCTTGTTTGCCCAGCTGCACGGGGACTCCCATTTCATTCCCCAGCTGCTTCCTAATGCTGTCTTATTTTTCTTTCAAACTGGAGTAGCCAACCAAACCACACCCCCAGACAGATTTGATAATTACTAAGAAGAGACAACTTTGCAGTTACACACAGCTCACAGAAAGCCGCCATGACTTTGTAGTTTGGCCCGCACTTTGTTCTTGTTCAGCAGTGCCTTTGACGTAATTAGCTAGCTTATGATTTTAAGGGAAGACATCATCAGATTTTATGAAAAGTAAAGCTCTTCATTAACCCTGTGTTTTACTCTTTAAAATAGTCATCTTAAGAGTGTGTATTAAGTTGAACCATAAGTGCTGATTTTCTACCTTTTTCATATAACCCACAAAAAACAGCAATTTGGTTCAACCTAAATAAATATATTTATTCCAGTGTTGCTTCCAGTCTTCAAACTATTTTAAAACTCATCTTTTGAAATGAGAAAAATCAAGTTCCTTACTTTAAAACATACATCAATCTCTTTAACACAACTATTCCTTAGTTATAAAATTGGCTCTGAATAACAGTTATTTACAGATGAAATAAAATCCATTTTATGTGGAGGAGAATTTGAGATAATTTTTGAGAATGTGCCGGTACTGATTACTTGGGTGCTGAGTTCTGGTACCTCAAGGAACCCTGAGACATCAGTTGGCATCGGAGTCATCACACCTTTAAATTTTTCTAAATTAAAGAATATTTAATTGGATTTACAATATATATGGAAAGGATACATTACAAAATTTCATCTCCTGTATATTCCTAAATCTATCAAAATGCAAATTACCTGTATCATTTCTAAGAGAAGAAACAAGATACTCTATATATGAAGGGTTTTCAGCACAGCTTTATTTATAAAACAAGAAGTTGAAATATTCTAAAATGTTCAACAGTAGGGAATTAAGTAAGTTATGGCACAGTCATATAAAGAAATATTATACAGCCCTTAAAATTATGTTTTACAAGACTATTTTGTGGTATAGGAAAATGTTGATATTTTTAAGTGGAAAAGGACATAGGAGATTAAAAATTGTAAATATAGTATGATTCAGATTTTTTTAAAGGAGAAATGATATGTGTCATTTTAAAATGAACAAGTGTGTGTGTGTATTTTCATAGGAAAAAGACTGCATAGCTGTATACCAAAATCTTATGTTTTTTATTTTCTACTTTATATTTTACTTTCTTTTTTGTATCGTGTTTTCTACATTGAACATAAAGTATTACTTTGTGCTCATAAAAAGTTTTTTTTTTAATTACAACTATATATGAACCTTATATTTACATTTTGTATTTTGACAAGTACATTTTAAGCAATAAAGTCCCTGTGTTAAGGGCTATATATTTATTTGGAGTTTTTTATAATTCCAAGGTTTGACTAAAATTTATCCATGCATAAGGGTTTATTCTTCAAATTAATAATGCAGAGGAGATTTTAGAGAAACACTTTTAAGTTTGAGAGAACTTTTTAAGTACACTGAAAGCACACACAAGACCCTGTAAATCATTTTTTTCATCACAGCCTGTCCCTAAGTGCCTCTTCCTGGCAGGTGAATTTGCATATTTCTGTTTGCTTTATGTAGAAGGAATAGTATATACTTTATTTCACTAACAATCTGGCTCTCTGCCAGTTGAAAGGTGATATCTTTAACGTATTATGTCATATAATGGTTTCCATTCACTTTCTAAGTTACAGACAGACATCTTTTAACAATGTGGGTCACATTTTCACAGGTGATGAAAACATACCATATGTATCATGCAGAGAGCATCAGCGCAGAGAGCAAGCTGAAAGAGGCTGAGAAACAAGAAGAGAAGCAAATTGGCAGATCCAGTGACCCAGTCTTTCATATTAGACTGGAAGAGAGACATCAGCGGCGAAGCTCTGTGAAGAAAATTGAAAAAATGAAGGAAAAAGTAAGTAAAAGACTGCAGAGCCTTTCTGTCCTCACTGGAGGTGACAAACCTAGGAACACTGATGCAACAGCTGATAGACACACATTGTAAATTACTGTGAAGTGACATGCATTTCCTCCCACGGGAATGAAAAAATGTGTTAGAAACATAAAAATCATGTAATAACAGCTGGACCTCATTTAGTGGTGAATGCCAAGTATCCAATACACAATGTAGAGAACTTTGAATATTAACAAAGAGATTTCATTGCAAATGGGCCTGGCGCCCGTATACGTTGTTGTTTTTCCTCATCGCTGGGTAATTTTCATTTATTTAATTCAGATTCGAAATGTACTTTTCTCAAAGGACTTCGAAGGTCATTTGTATATGTTGAATAAATTGTTTAGATGAATAGAAATTCATGTATGTTTCCCTGTCTTGTTTTAAAATGACTTTATTGTTTTCCCCAATGCCTGGATCTTCTTCATTTCCAGAGACAAGCAAAGTATTCGGAAAACAAGCTAAAGTCGATTAAGGCACGGAATGAATATCTCCTAACCCTTGAAGCAACCAATGCCTCAGTTTTCAAGTATTATATTCATGATCTTTCAGATTTAATTGATGTAAGTACTTGAAGTTTTTATACTTTCCATACCAAGATGGAATTAGCAGTAATCTCATTTCCTTGATTCTAAAACACCATCATTTATTAAAACAATGTTTTATGTAATTCTCAGGAAAAAAACGCTGCCAATTAAACTACACAGAATACTAAGACACAATAAATTGTAAGATGCATGTGAAATACTGTGCATCCTAAAACCGCTGAAAAACGAATTATGAAGTTCTGTGAAGCTGTGAGTATCTGGAAGACTCAGCTAGGAAGGGGGTCCAGGCATTTTCAAATGATGCAGTAGCACAGCCCTAACTGTGTTCATTGATTCGAAATATATTTATTGGACCCCTACTATTGTGAGATGCTGAGGCTCTGTGAAGCCATAGATAAACAGTTCTTACCCCCTGGAATTTAAAGTGGAAAAAAAAAAAAATTAAGCAAATGACTACACAACACAGTTGTGATAAATACTGTGAAGCAAAATAGGATACACAGAAACCACTTTTATTATCTAACTCTCTTTACTTTTATAGGATATGATATAAAAAAAGCACTAATCGGGCTCATTTAGAACACTCCAAGTATATGTCTACTATTATATTTGTGCAGTGTTTACTGCCATTATTCCCCAACTTTGACCCTCAGCATCACTCATTCTTTCATTCAGAAATCATCCACTGGGTAGCCCAGTCATTGTGCTAATACTGTAGGAGATGGCAAAAATAAAACAGACAAAAATCCTGTGTCCAAAAACGCCAAGATCTGCAAATAGAAGATAAAAAGTGATGTGTCATAAGGGAAACACAGATGAAGTGTGAAGTTCAGAGAGTTATCTGCGGGAATTTTACTTGTATACTGCTTTGCAGTGATTGAATTCAACAGTTAGATGATAATATAAGATTATTTTCTGTGGCTTATAGTGTCTGTCATAATTTAGTCATATAGTAGGTTAAAACAACTATTTTTATGGTGCATTAAGTCTCAGATATTTAGCGATTATTTTAGAGCCACAGTTTGGGACTTTTACAAAAGAATTGCTAAGAATTGTTATAAAAGATTTTTTAGTTCATTAACACTCTGATGTGACTTTTTCCTTTTATTTAAGTGTAAAAACAATTTTATCTCATATAATATCATAATTTCTTTATACAAAACCATTTAGTAATAAAACCAGGGAAAACTTTTTTCTCTTTGTTACAAGTATTTCAATCAAGTAAGTAATCAGTTAATTGTTTTAAATACAGAAGTTTTAAAAAAAAATTTTTTTTTCTTCTAGCACTCTGATGAAATAAAAGGATTTTTTTCTGCTAGATTGCTGCTAGTTTTCCTGAATAAAAATAAAAAATTTTATGACCCCTGTTTTCAAACTTAGATCTGTAAGGATTCTGCAAAATGAATGGAATATAGAAGAACTAATTCTTGTAACAGCTCTGCTTGCTTTTTTTGTTTAGGGCTTATTTTAGTAGTGATTGGAGTACTTCACTAAACCCAAGCCAATTTAACAAGAGGATAGATAAGTCTCTGTATCTTGAAAAGTGCTTCTTTAATACGTACCAGGTACCAAGTACTATTCTTGATAATGGGGATCCATCAATGAACAAAACAGAGTGCTCACCTCCATGGAGTTTATGTACTAGTTGGGGAGACAAGCCATAAAAACATTTGCACATATTAAATATATTATATGTATGTAATATATATGTAATATATTATATGCTTATATAGTAAATATTTATATTTAATATGTATATAAGTAGTAACTTATTGTTGTAGTAGTAACAGTGCCATGAAGAAAAATAAAACAGCTCTGGGGGTGCTTCTGTTGATGGCATGTCAGAAAAGCCTGATGTTTGAGCAGAGAAGTGAGCTGCAGAGCTATATTGCTAATGGGGAAGGAATCCCTCATATAGAAGGACTGGCAAGGCTCCAGGTATAGAGGCGGAGGTGAGTTTGGCAAGTTCAAGATGCTCCAGGATAGCAAGATGTCCCTCATATAGAAGCACTGGCAAGGCTCCAGGTACAGAGGTGGAGGTGTGTTTGGCAAGTTCAAGATGCTCGAGAATAGCAGAGGCCAGTATGGCTGGAGAGGAGCGAGCGAGGAAAAGGTTCTGGGAGAGAAGGAGGGGCAGAAGCCCAATCACTTAGGGGCCTTTGGACAGGGAAAAGGGGTTAGCTTTTGCTCTAAGTTTGGTGTGAAGCCAGTGAAGGGTTTGAAACAAGGAGGTGACATCACGTGATTTCCATTTTAAAGACTTACTCTGGCATCGGGGTGGAAAATAGACTGAGGTAGGTGAGGAGGACAAGTGTGAAAAAAGCGAGCTATATCTAGGGTCTTTTGCAATTGTCCAGGCCAGAGATGATGCTGGCTTGGACTGGCGTGGTAGCAATAGACCTGTGAGAAGTGGTTGAATTCAAAATATATTGAAAATAAAGCTAAAAGAAAACTGGGGTGGTAGGTTTAAAAAAAAAAAGGATAAAAGTGACTCCTAGGGCTTCCCTGGTGGCGCAGTGGTTGAGAGTCTGCCTGCCGATGCAGGGGACACGGGTTCATGCCCCAGTGTGGGAATATCCCACATGCCGCGGAGCAGCTGGGCCCGTGAGCCATGGCCGCTGAGCCTGCGCGTCCGGAGCCTGTGCTCCACAACGGGAGAGGCCACAACAGTGAGAGGCCCGTATACTGCAAAAAAAAAAAAAAAAAAAAAAAGTGACTCCTAGGCTCAGGTCTTGAATAACTAGGTTAATGATGTACACTTTACTGAGATAGGGACCCTGAAGAGGAGCAATAGTTCTGTTACATGTAGTAAGGTTGAGATACCTGTGGGGCACCTGTGTGGAGATGTACAGTAGCGTCCTTGATACCGTTAGTATATATAGGACAAGAAGAGCATGTCAGGATTATATGAGTCACCATCATGGTTGTGGATATTTATTGAACTCTTACTATGTGACAGGCACCTAGGTTTCTAAGCATAATTTCATCTAATCATCATAACCTTGTGAGGTAAATACTATTTTCTCTATTTTATAGATTAAATGAACTGACGGAGGCTTAGCTAGCTGGGTAACTTGCCAAACGTTACACAACTGTTATGTTAGGTTTCAAACTCAGACATTTTAACCTCCAGATCAAAATAAATCTGATATAAATAAATAGTTAAATATGCCAAGTATTTTCAATTTTATTTTTAGAAAGCTGGATTTTTTAAAGATCAGCCTTAAATTTAAAATGTAGATTGAGCGACGGCCGCAGCTGCAGCGGGACAGCCCGCCAGCGGCTCGGGGCCGCGCGCCGGGAACCTCACAGGGCGGGCGGGCGCGGCACCCGCTGCCTAGCTGCCAGCGTCCCGGGGAGGCGGCCCGCGCGCGATGGGACCAGCAGCATGAGCAGCAGCATGAGCAGCGGCTACAGCAGCCTGGAGGAGGACGCCGAGGACTTCTTCACGGCCAGGACCTCCTTCTTCAGGAGAGCGACCCAGGGCAAGCCCCGCGCGGGCCAGCAAGCTTCCAAAAGTAGAAATGGACTAAAAATTGTTGGATTTCCCTGGTGGCGCAGTGGTTAAGAATCCACCTGTCAATGCAGGGGACACAGGTTCGAGCCCTGGTACGGGAAGATCCCACATGCCGCGGAGCAACTAAGCCTGTGCGCCACAACTACTGAGCCTGCTCTCTAGAGCCCGTGAACCACAGCTACTGAGGCTGCATGCCACAACTACTGGAGCCCGTGCACCTAGAGCCCGTGCTCTGCAGGGAGAGAAGCCACTGCGATGAGAAGCCTGCGTACCGCAGTGAAAGAGTAGCCCCCGCTGGCAGCAGCTAGAGAAAGTCCACCCATAGCAATGAAGACCCAACGCAGCCAAAAATAAATAAATAAAATAAAATGTAAACAATTCTCAAATGATACAACTAAAATATGAATTTTAAAAGAAATGTTATACAATTCTAAAACGATACAACTTAAATATGAATTTTAAAAGAAATGTTATGAAATTGGTATGTTGTCATATTCAAAAGAAATTGAGTACTCTTTTAGTGAAAAGCATGCTTCAAGTTCGTTGACCCACTTTCAAGGCAATCAGAATGTGAATACGTACATTCTAAAATGGCTGCTTATTTTGTAGGAATCCAACTTACATATACGGTGGTGATCTTAAAAACCATTAAGCTGGACCCTTCATGATGAAAAAGAAACGGATTATTATGCAAAGGCACCTAGAATCCCTTATGCTCCTGTGTGAGCCTATTTAGCAAAATACCTTTTATACTGAGCTAATAATTATTAGAAGGTATAATTATTATACCTCTAGTGAGAAAAAGTTAAGACAACATTTTTAATGCCGTCTTAAGACACTTAATACAGCATCAAAAACATTTTATATGTGAAATGACATGGAAGATGCTAAATGTATCTTGATTAAATCAAAGCATTATAACTAGTCAAAGAATTCAAGTTGAGACCTTTTTTATACAAACCTCCAGTTTCTCTTGGCTTCTACTCAAATCAGTATCTGTCGCCTTTCTTAAAATTTTTCTATCATACATGATGATGAATGGATCTGTTGATATAAAAAAGTCATATAAATTTTCCATAGAATTTGTTTTAAAACTAGTCTTATTATAGAAGCACTACATTTACATTGTAGAAATCTAGAAAATACTACAAACGAAAATAAAATGATCACATTCTTACCACCTGAGATCGTCACTGTTAAAATGTAGACTTTTTCTGTGTCCACACACACATTTTTAGACCAGAGAGTATGAAATCACATTTTACATATAGCTTTTCAACTCCCTTTTTTCAGTCGTTCATCTCCCATCCTTCCATTTCAGAAAAATTTTGTCTCGTCTAATAACCGCTACATTTCCATTTGTGAACCCCCCCTCCCCAAAATGTTTCTCAGCTGGTATGTCTAGACTAGATCCAATTTAGATCACATGTTGGATCTGTGTGATGTGTCCCTTTAGTCTTTTTTTATCCAGCCAAGTCCCTGGTTAAAGAGACAGTTG